CATACATTTGAATGTTGTGTTCTACCATGATTGATATACTAGTAATATTAATACATTAACATGTCAATTGATTCACTTTCTCATATACTTTTAGTGAATAATTATTTAAATTGTTTAATATCGTCACGTAAGCAAGCAATCGGTATCTCTATTGCCTCTCAAATGCTTTATTTGGTTAGACAAAGGAGTCAACCAAGTTTACTTGATAGATGTTACAAGATTATGTCGGAAATAGAATAAAGACTAAGTACTAAAATGAAGTTTACTTCATAGATGCTACTTTATAATATTAAATATGGAATAAGAAGGATAATACACTCTGCAATTTTTAAAAATTTCGTTAAAAAAATCCTTCACTTAATTTTATTTAAATGAAACTATTTAAATTTATTTCAATCTTTTAAGTTAAAAATCGTTATCTCTCTTCATTGATGTTATAGAGTTGCATTTGATAAGTCAAATATGCATATCTTACATGTTAAATAACATATATACACAATTGATTAAGTTCAAATATAATGTAACAATTATTATACCAATCTATATCACAGCATATCATGAATCAATTTTGCATCAAACATCATAATACACAAATTTTCATATACCATCACAAATGTACTATAATAGAACTTTAACTTTCAGAATATTCATCAGATCAAAGCGCTTATTGCCATATCATAGAAGATATTTGCATTGCAATTTCATCAAGTACATTCTATGCTTCCAAATTGTACTAGAAGTTGTATTTGAGTTAAAACAAATGCATCTCGAAATAAAAATAGAGCTCAAAAGCCATATAGAGAGCTTAATTATTTGTTTCTCCTGTCAGAGAGCACTCTCTCTGGGTTTCTCTCTCTTATTTTCCGCTCCAGCAACGTATATAACTATGATAGATATACAGCTGTTGGAGTTCTCAAATGAGTACTTTAGTTCCTCACATATTTTTTGAATTCACTTTTTCAGAAGTAAACTGCATATTGAATCCTCGACAAGTTTTTAAGCATCACTGAAATGATGATGGTTAGATCTGCGACTTCTATTGGTGCAAAGGTATAGAAACTCTAGGATACTTGTTGATGTTATAATCATTGTGAGTGTGACAAGGTTTCCATAGTTTGAAGGCATGGTACCTGTTACAACCTGTGTTGTCACGTGATAGTTTTAAGCAATCTTGGATGGGTGATCGATCACTCAACATCAAGATGTAGTGTACCTACCTACCTAGTCTGTAACATAAATCATGATCGAATCATTTGAGTGTAAATGTATTGACCTTGTTCTTTCGCGGACATCCGATAAAATTGGAACAGTACATAGAAGATTAGCATGGCCCTGCGCAAGGATGACAAATACAAATAGAGAAATGGTAATGAAGTACATGTGCTTTGTTAATTCTTGTGAATTATTACCTCTAGGACCTATTCCCTAAAGATGCAGAGTACTATCAAAGGTAAGTCACGCTAATTGACTTTGAACAGCTGTGTGATATTTATAGGTCTATTTCTTAGCTGCCTTGAATCGGTTGCTATATTCTATGCTGTTGCGCTTCTGGTCGATCGACGAACAAAAACACGAAAGGCAGGCACGAGACAAGAGGAGGAGGGGGAGGCGAGCAGCAGCAGCAGGGCCAGACAGAGAGAGAGTGGGGAGAGACAGGGAGGGCGGAGGCAGAGAGAGCAAGAGGAAAGACATGAATAGAAAAGGTTGAAAGTGGGGAGAGGATTCTCAGAATGTAGAGAGTATACTAAGTTATGGTCTATGACATGGTGATGCATTTTTTATCAATTTTTTCTTGGTTGGATCTTTTGGCCACCAGAAGTAAGTCTTACACTTACACCTTTGATTATGAACTTATTACTATCAAAATTTGGCAGATTTAAGAACACACAAGGAATCTGCAGATCAATTATCTGAGCACAACTTTCTCCTTCTGACTCACAACTTCAATTTTGAACTACTGGGCTCTTACGGCAACTTTAATATTTACCTCTCTTACGGCTATTAAAACATCTTAAACGCTATTGCGGCATACAAACTCACATCTTTGAAAGAACTTTATGGAAATTAATAGCGCTGCATCCTCCAGATCACGCATTATTGATAAGGGCAGTCACCCCTTTTCTAATGCCGTTTCCGAACACTCCACTTTCTTCACGACAAATTAGTGTTCTGAAACTTTCATGTAACTCAATTGAGTGATCGTCTTTTTGAATTCAGTTTGAATTGCAACAACTGATAATCAACAGTTCCAAAGTCTTATATCCCTTAGCTGGTGTAAACCATTAAAACTATCAGAATTCTTAGGCTTCCTTAGATAGATTTTGACATTTGATAAGCAATGGATCCTGGTTGGCGTTTCCACTACCTTTCTCTCGCTGGACACTGTGTTTGGCACTACGTGTGAAGCTAGACTCTGAATTGCTTTTATCTCAGGATCTTTGTTTAAACTCAATAATTTCAAGTGATGCATCTTTCCGAAAATGTATGAACCACGAGCTTTAGTCCCGAGACCTAGTGACCACACTGCTTGGAGCACGCAGGTCATGTATGGCATGTCGGTCACCCACTGCGACTGCGCCCCGGGCGGTCTTCAGATCACACACGCAGCAGCGGACGCTCATCAAATTGGGGTAATTCACCTCGTACATGTATATCATGCACTGATTATCCTTACCTGCAACACATCCAATGTACCAAAGCCACGTACCCTTCTCGAGAGGGGAATGGGGCCACCTCGAACCATTCCATCTTCGATTGCTCGAGTCTCCAAACACTAATCGAAGTTTCCTCTTTCATGTGCGGCCCGTCCTCGACCTTGAACAGCTTGCCTCCGCACGACACCAGGTGGAAATGATGGTACCGCGTGGCGCGGTCGAGTGGTGCGTCATCGGAAGGCGACTCCACATGCCCTTCTCGACGTCGTAGGAAGCCACCTCGTTGATGAGATTCAGCCTGCGCAAGTACACCAGGAGCTTGCCATTGTGCACGGTGCCGAAGCGCACCTCCTGGAACGACGAAGGCAGGCTGAATCCATCAACGAGTTCTCTCCATCGAAAACATCTTAGTTTTTTCATTTTACTGACTCAAAACCAGTTGTACCAGTTGCAAAACCAATTGACTCATTGGATGCACCGAAAGCAACAAACAAGTGGAGACCAATACGATAATATGATGATTGGATGCATCAAAAATCAACACAAACTGAGAACTTGTTGGATGAAACATAGAACCAGTCTGAAGATTTGTTGTACACGAGATCAAATACTGTCACTTACCATCTTCATCTGTTAAACAAAAAAACAAGCCAGAAGTAATTCTTACAAAGTAACCCAAAAAACCTTAATTATAATCATTACAATCGAAGACTTTCAATAGAGCACGCTTTAAGAGAATGAGTCTGAAAATCATGACTAAACGCAATATTGAGATCTACACATATAAGTAAGATACACTGAAATTTGTTTTCTTGCAATTTTCACATGCGTGCAGTAATCCAGACAACTCGGAAAAGAATACTTGGACTGCATGCATCGATGAATCTAAGAAATACTTCTAGACTTAGTTTTCGTCATGAGAACACATGGGCATCTCATCTCTGCACTCGACCGGTTCAACGCAGAAATTTTTTTAAATCGATGAGTCGAACGATTTGATGCAGCCCACCAACCATCACCTTCAATCGTGATCCAGGCATCGAGACTACCAATGGTAACAAGCTCTTCTCATTGGACGAGTTGGTATAGATAGATGCACCCCTATTAAGATGAAGCTTCACAAATATTCCTCAACAAAAATCCCTCTGTCAGATGCGGTGAAGGAATGGAAAAAAGTAAAGTAAACCCAAACCCCAAGTCACCTGTGATAATCATCTCTCCAACAGAGTGTAAAGAATACACTTCTGTTTCAAATTTTCTGTAGTTTGAAACAAATTTGGCAAGAAAACCCTTACACTGGTCTTTCAGTTATAAATCTTTACAACTGTCAAAAAAAATTTCAAAGAACTCGAGCGTTCTTACATATCCTCTTGGAACCACAAGCTGCCAAAAAACATTCATCTAACTATTCTGTTAGATCTCAAAATATTGGAAATCACAGTAAGAGAGTAAGAGAACCCATGAGACTGTAGGTGTAATCCAGAGAGGCAAGATAATGCATGCAGTGTTAATGCAAGACTTCTCGGCTGTTTTTCCACTGAATACTTAATGTAAACATGTTATTGCCTCATTTACAATATTTCTTTTGGTATTGTTTGAAATCTGACAGCATAAGTCAGTGTCCTCTCGGTGTGTGACTTGACTACATACATAACAAGCTTATGATCTTGAATGCAATGAGAATGACTCATGAAATTTGTAATTATCAACTTGCGTTTTGATCCAGAGTTTTGCAAATTATTAACATTGTGAAGTGATAACTTGATTTGAATAAAAGCAGATTTGTCACAAGTATCTCATTTAAACGTCTCTACTAATTATGTAAGTAGACCTATCTGTTGCTTCCATACATATAAACATTAATTGAGCTTCATTTCTAGCCCAATCTCTAGTTTAATTCTACGAGTGCTATACTACTAAAAAAGCGAAATCAATTATAAAAGAAAACACATGTAGAAATTCAAACTCACAAAGAAATGAAAGTACAATACTCGAACTCAGAAACTTTAAATGTAGACATCAAATCTGTAGAAGTTGTGAAGTAATAAGGATCATAAGATTTTCCAAAACACAGAAACATTTTCAATGTTTGGTATATGCAAATTAAGGGAATCGACTGGAGCATCGGGATATATGTATGTGCAATTATTTGGACACGTGCCTGGTTTCCACGATGGCCACCCCCTTCACTGGAAAGAACACAGGCTTCTTCTTTGAAAATAATAATATATATTAATAATAGACGAATGCCAAGTTTTAATTTGAGAAAAATATAACAAATAATTTCGAACTACAATTCGTATTAATCATTCAGCGTAAACTCATGATGTGGATTTACTGATCCTCTTCTATTCTGCATAAATGTGTATGTGACTTTACATTATTTTATCTTCATATTTAGATAGCCGAAACGCGTTGATGGCATCCACACATCAAACTGCATCACCAGTTGAGAATATAAATATACCATCGTCCATGGATGCAGAGCAGGAGTATTTATAGAAATGTTTACATCGTTGCTTTCCATGCGAGTCTAGAAAGGTAAGTAGACCAAGCTCCCTTCATAAGAAACAAAGATCTTGAAGATGCTCCTGCAAGTCAACTCCGGCCCGTATGTTAACTCGAGAATTCTCCTGCCGGAATTTAACAGCACTTCCATTTCACCGTAGGGCTCTATAGAATCAGTGGCATGATTATATAGAAAGGGCTTCTCCTTGGCGGCCTCTGCGCACATTGCTAATGCAAGATCAGATGCAGGATCGCATGTGTGCATGGCTATTATAATATTCGCAATCAAGCGCCTCTCCGACAATAAATTATCCGCTGAGTAGCCCGGTAGCCCCTTGATCTGTGGATCTAGCAGCAGCCTGTAGAATCGGACGAATGAAGCTCGGATGAAGTCCTTCTCGTCGTCCCGGAGCGCCGAGAGCTTGGGGATGTCCTTGAAGAGAGAACCGACTGCGGTGATGGCTGTTATGCAGCGCCTTTTCAATCTTTCCAGCTGCTCCTCAGTATATGTTGACAAACTGAGATGATCACAGTGGCTTCCGATGTCCGTGCACTCGGAAGCCATATAGTTCAACATGCTACATTCCTGGAGTAGCCTTGCCTCCAGACTGCACCTTGAACATTTACAGAGCACACCCCCGACCAGCCACCTCCTTTCGTCCAGGGGGCAGAAGATGTTATGATAAGCGTGGAATAATTCCTCCCCTTGTCGAATGTCACGGCTTGCTCTAAACACTCTGGAGAACCTTTCATTTCGCAGTCCCATGACTGAAACATTTGGTAAACAAGAATGATTCATGAGGGACGGTAGGACATAAATCTCCAGAATTTTTAGCACTTTTCCGTACTGATAAATTTGCCTTTCATAAATCACTCTCCTCAAAAAGGCTCTGGGAAATTCATTCCTCAATGCAGGATGCGTCATATCTTGTGCGGTCACACTCTTGCAGCCGGGAGGCAGAGCATTAACCGGAGTGAAATATCTCATGGGCGGGGCATCTCTGTATTGTGAGTCTTCAGGGTAAGGGCCTCCCAGAGTGTCCAGCTGAATAAGCCGTTGTAGCTGAGTCAGATCGTGCAAGTTCTCCATCGCATCTCTGACAACCTCTTCAACAGCATAAATCAAATGATCGAGTTTCTTTTCCAAAGGAGGGAGTTCAGAACGATCATCCGTGCTAATTTTGTTGGTCGTTAAGGCATTGCTTACTAGGAGCAATTCCCCTGCTTGGACGTTTCTTGTTGCAAATAGACCTCTCCCCATCCCTGGAACCCTTCTGATCTCTACAGGTCCCACATACTCCTCCAGTGAAGGAGGGGTTTCAATCATATCAGGACCTGCGGGAAACAGTTTCCAGCTTGTCTCAAAAGCATTCTCAATCTCTCCAAAGCGAGTTTGCCTATCTTTCATAAAGGCATTTTCATACGAAATCTCAATCGAATCCCTTACACTTCCGCTCAAGCAATCGAAACTGGAACTCCCTAATATTTCCTTGTAAGTCTCTACGGCTTCTTGAAACATACGAAGTCCTTCAAGGGCCCTCCCCTTCCTCAGGAGACTCTTCAAATGAGCATTATCCAATTCCAGCGCTTTATTGCAGTCATCCAGGGCCTTGACATATTTATGCACCTTCAGCCAAGCTTCTGCTCTATTAGAATACCCTACGACAAGCTTGGATCGAGTTGTTTCATCCGTTTTGTCCCCAACTAAAAGAGCTATATACTGGCCGTACTTCGCAATAGCCCTTGCCCAACGTCCTTTGCCAAACATCCTGTTACCTTCTTCGCGCACCTCTTCTTCCATTCTGATTAGGAATCTGGACAACATATTGGAGAACAATGTATAATTACTTGACGACCCAGAGAATAGCTATGAACGGGTATTGAATAGTTTTGCAACACTTACTTTTTGTAACAGGAATACGTTCACTTACATTTTGTAACAGGGATATGTTGTATTCAACATATGTTGAAGAATATCTTCTGTGAAGATAACTACTTATTTTCATTGTGTATCTGACCCAACAAAAGAAATAAGACTTCCGCTTTTAAGATCACATTCCTAGGAAGGGATTGCGTTTCAATTTCTCGCACGTACTTTTTTTGTATATATTTTCATTTATTACCTCCGTTCTTCAATTTCCTGGCTCCACGGCGACAACCCATCTGTCACACAGGCTAGATGCTGGTTGCTATCTGTAGTTTATCGAGAACTGAACAAAAGCTCTCAAATATGTATAAAGAAAGGATACATATAACCACCCACCAGTGCTCAATCCCAAACTTTACGATTTGCTGTAGTGGCAGATTATAATCTCGTTAGCTCCAGATGAAAAGCTCAATGAAGTGAAGGTGGCGTAGATTTGGTTCTTTTCAAGGATTCTGTGAGTCTCCGAGTCAAATGTAGCCCACAGTTTCCAGAACTCTAAGCACCGTGTCGAATGCTTTGATGGGTGGTTTAGCGGATGTCATCTAATTCAAAGAACCAAAATACATCATAATACGCTGGCTGATTATTCATTCAGATGCCCTATCGCTTGATCACGTTGATACCTGGATCGCCTCTTCACAGCTTAGACTTCTGAACGTCCTTCGAGAGAGCTGTGCTGAATCTCTTCCTCAGATATCCGACCACCTGTATCGAATGACGTGCAACATTGAGCTTGAGTCATGTTCTTGAACATTGATTTCTCCTCCTCCGGCCAACTGATGATACACCGCTCCTATTCTTTCTGAATTGTTGGAACCTTCTGATCTTTCGCGAGTAACTCTTGCTCATGAAAACCTTTTATTCTCTTTCTAGAGTTGTGTCTGAGTTCAACAAAGTGCGCGGCTTTCAGTGGACAAATGTAACGCTTGCTAGCCATATTCAGAGACTGGAAACACCTCAGAAATGTTTATCTGGCAACTTCTTTTCAATGTGTATGGAAATCAGATGGAATTTCATTCAGGGTTACTTTCTGAAATTCAAGGAGTGTGTCTGCTGGGTGCGCTGTAAGCAACGAGTCAATCAAATTTCACAGAAGACTGATCCTCATCGGTTACGTTCTTGCGAGAAGGAACTAATAAGCAAGAATGTAACGATCCCAAGTTGGAGCACAGCCTCACAATGTGGATTGGTCAGGTTAGGAGATCGAGCTGAGCCGTGTAATACTAAGTAATAGGACGAATGCGACACAAAAAGCTTCTTTGTCAGTGCTCCGTACCTCGGAGCAATGAAATCGCACTACAGATGTAGTGCACATGCAAGTGGGCAGGTATCGTTGAATCCTATGTTGGGAAAGAGTGCTAGTTGACGTAATCACGAGAATTTCATGGTACAGTTAACACGTGTTATCTAATTTTCCTCCCGCGACTAAATCTGTTACCTTGAATTACAATGTGCCTTACCTTACTTTCACACCGAAGCACTGTATCCTCTTACCATTTTCTTTTTGGATCAATATAATTTTCAAGGGTAGATTCACACAAATCATATTCGTACTAAAAAATAAGAGTATAAAATAATAAAAAGTTAAATGCTGTACCAAATGAAGTAGAAAACCTATATGATTTGAACAATCATTAAGGTTTTTATGATGTATATGTAAATATGAATTTTAATTGAATAATATTGATCTTTATTTTTACAGATTATTCCAGAGATAAATTTCTAATTTGATAAAAAAGTTGTAATTAATACACATATTTTGATATATTTTTCTTTTTCTTTTATTGCTCACTGTGATAATATAAAATACAGATCTATGTAAAGTAAAAAAATTCGTAAAGAATTTGACTTATTAAAAATACAACTTAAATAAAATATCTTCTAATTATTTATTTATTTATTTATTTAAAATTAAAAATCCATGACGTTTATATCAAGCTTAAATTATACACAAGAAACAAGAAGTGAAAAATTTTAAGAAAATTAAATTAGCTATTAATATTTTTCAAACATGTACTTGTATAATATAAATAATAATCACTATTAAAAATAAATTTTTTTTAAGATTTTTCAAAGATTCAATCACTTCAAAGTTATTTCCTTGTGAATTACATGCTTTCAAAAGTTACTGCAAACCTCACTTTTTTAAAACATCATGAATAATCAAATTATAAACTTACATCTATAACAATGTGCTACTGTAAAGAAGACCAAATGCTAGAATATAGATATATGATGAATTTATGAAATAAAAACTTCTTATCATCACTAATATAACATAAATAACTAATTTGATTCCAACAAATTCAGTTGCATCATTAATGCAAAATATTTCAGACTAAATATATTGTATCATTGGCAAAAATTATCTAATTTAAAACTCAAATGACTTTTAAATGAAATAAAAATAACTTTTAAATAAACATTATAGTCTGAATTTGATATATATCTTGTAATATTTTTTCAAGATTATCTTGCTTAATTTTAATTACAATTAAGTGTAAAGATTTCAAAAATTAAACGTTTTGATTTAGTTTTCATAAATGTTAACAAATCTAGAGAAGAAACAATTGACATGTCAGAATTACAATACCAAATTTTTTTTATGGCAGAATGGTAGCTATAACAAATGATTTAATTCAGTTTTTGACTCATTAGGTCTAGATATACCTCAAATTGGAAAGGTTAAATATCAATAAAATTCTAAAAATATACAATTAATATTGATATAAGCATGTTTTCTTATTGATATTAAATAAATGATTCTACATAAAAAAAGAAAAAGATGTTTTTTTTTCGCAAAATTTTTTGTCAGTCAAATACTAAAAGATCTTAAATCAATCAAAAGTATTGAAAACATTTGAATGAAATACATAATTGGTGAAAGAATTTTGAAGAAGATAATCACACACAAAAATTGCAATGGAATGTTTGATTATTCCACCTATCAATTCTGTACTTGTGAAATGAACCAAAAAATAACTGATGTATTGAATCAATTGGATTTAAAATCCAATTTAGGAATGAAATTTGATAATTATATAAAATTTTGTACACAAAAAATTTGATGTAAAATTTTTCGGTAACCAAAAATATCAAAATATATTCAGTTAAATTGTAAAAAAAATTATCAAATCATCAAATTTCATCAAGAATGTAAAAATGTAAATTGTATATAGAGTTTAGATTATTTTTTTCTTCTATAATCTAATCCTCATAATCTCACTTTTATACAATGCAAGAATATTCTTCTATTGATTCTATTACGAGTTTAGATTACCTTTCTTGATCCAAAGTTGTTGAACATGAACCAAAATGAATCCAAAAAATGAAACACTTTTTCTACCTCCGAAATCATTATGTCTTTCTCAAATTGAGCTGAGCTGATGAACACATTTGATAGAGTAATATTGATATAGTAATCCTATTCTAAAATAGAATTTTATTTTATGTTCAAATAGAAAGATTGGGAAAAAAAAATTTGTGCTCTAAATTTCTCTTTTTTTTTCTCACTCACTGACTCCAATAATAATAAGAAACTATTTCAATAGCATAAAAAATTCAATGTACAATTTTAGCACATCATGTCCGCGTACTAATGTGGAATCTTTCTCTTTCGACTCTACTTGGTTTTGGTTTATGAATATAACTTGCATGATGAAGCAAAGTAACACGCATTCATTGAAAGAACCAAACATTGCACATTTTTTATTTTGATATGAAGATCTCTCTTTGAATTTGAGATTTGTCAACAAAACACCATGTAAATAATTACAAGAGGGTCCTTTTTTCAGATATCTATCATGATTACGAGCTGTACTTCCAGTTTGGTTATAGTTGTGTCGATTCTTCTGCTGTACAGTCCAACTGGCAAAAGTTTGGCACTCTTTACGTTGTCTTGAGGAAATCCCCATCTACGGTAGCTTGTACGTACGTCCGGGAGTGTACGTACGTAACTGTCTACCCAAAAGCTTAGTTCGTTGATTGTAAGAAGGTAACTCATTATATAAAGAAAAACCAAACATCTTACACATCTGAATGGCAAAAATAGTTCATCTATACTTCATTTTGTATTCGTAATTTTCAAGCAATTTTTAGTTGTCTCATGTAATATCCCTTACACTAACAGAAACCTCCTACAAAAATTCATTTCCTTCAATGTATTATTGCATATCAAATGTAATTGCGAGGCTAAGTATCAGATGCCCTTGTCAAAACTTTTCAGTATGCAGTATAAGACATGTATTCTCCTCAATGATTGTAAGCTCGATCTGTCGACGTCTGTAGAGACTATTTGTAGATTTCAATCATGTTCAGGATAGACTTATCTTCGTTTTGTGTATGATGCTGCAATAAGATCATACTGACAAAGTTATCATGAGTGATCGAAGCGAAACTCTTCCAGAGTTTCCATGTTGCATGCTTTGGTCCTTGGACTCTCCCGCTGTGTATTCAATTTCTGGTTCGTGGCTTCTGCAATGAGCAACTACAAAGGATGCTTCATGTTATGAAGATCCGAACGTGAACTTCACATAATGATGGTAAGTCATGTATATGACAAACTATCACGCTATCTTCTGCATGTAAGGTCCAAATTGAAGATGCAGTGCAGCTTGTGGTCTTTGAAGTTTTAATCTGAAACTACATGCGAGAGAAATGTTCTGGTGCCAAGTCGAAGATTACCACAGGTCATCTGCTTGTACTTCAGCTCATGTTCTACAAATGGATGACAGGTTTTCTTTTGTCTGTTCATGGAAGATTGACTTGAATGTTATCGAGGTTTTGTTTCTATCAGTTGATAATGAATATGAGAGGAAAAATCCTAGTGTGTCTGGACATGTTAGTAAGTTGGGTCATTTTCATAATCTTTGATACTCAATCTGCATTATAGAAGACAGAATTTGACGGGTTTTCTATCAAGATGAGTTTGAACCTGATAAATATTTGGGTTGTAACGATTCGCAATGCACATTTGAATTGAATTGTAGTATATTTTAAGGATGAAAATCTTCTTCTGCGAAATATGAAACAGTTTCAAACTTTAGTCTAAATATTTAACCCCACTTTTCTACATGTTCATGCTAGATATTGACGATCAGTTCGTGGAGGATGGGGCTGGATATGATGAAGCTTTGGTCGTAGCAGCTCTCATTTTCAAAATGCAAATGTGAAGAAAAATCTCCTACTGCCGAATGGAAAGGTAGTAAGTCGGGCCAAACTTACGTCGCTTGAATCACTCGAGTAAGGTTAGTATCATTCAAAGTTCCTCCTCTGAGAATCCTGAAGTATTAGATATCTAATAGCATCAAAGTGTTTTAGTTCCAAACATCTTACAAGCCGATACTCTTCCCGTGAATTTGGCCGCAGAGTCACTGTCAGAGACGTCGACGCAGTCATCTCAAACTCATGGCAGCCGAAGCTATACGAGCAGAAGGCAACGACCTCTATGCAAGAGGTCGATATACACAGGCTATCAACAAGTATGAGCTGTACATAGAGCTTGTCACGAAGGAGAAAGGTGGCCTTGACAGAATAGTATGCGGGCACTCGAATCGAGCACAAGCCTACTTGCAGTTGAGAAAATATACCAAAGCGCTTGAAGACGTGAGGAAGGCTCTGGAGCTGGACCCCACTCATCTAAAGAGCTTAGTGAGGAAAGCGAAGGCATTGGAGGGACTGAAAATTTACCAAGATGTCGTCACCATCTACAAGAGTTTGCTTCAGAATTTTAAGGATCAGCTGCATGATGTCCATGTAAAGGACTTTCTGCGGTCGTTGCAGGATGCGGAGAGGAAGGATAAGATGACTCGACTCGGTCAATACGAAGAGCTCGTTGATTCTTACTGGGATCAACCATGTCCCAATGGGGCACCGATGATGGAGGAGTATGTCGGGCCTGTAGAACTCAGAAGAGTAGAGCGCATGGATAGAGGTCTATTCGCAACGAAAGACCTTGAACCTGGCGATTTATTATTCGTAAGTAATTCTATAGTGACAGTGAGAGTTCCCATTGCTAAGGGAGACATCCAAATCTCGGTGGAATCCAAGAGTGAAGCGATGCATTTGGTACTGGATTCTCTCAAAAGATTCGTCAATCATGCATTTGATAACCTGCAAGATTTCTCTCAGTTTCAACTACTGGTGCAAGTTGATACTTTGGCAGGCCCATACCCGACAGCACCTTTGAGCAGAGATTGTCCTTCGATGAGATATTTCACTCCAGTTAATGCTCTTCCTCCAGGTTTGAGGAATCTCATGCGCCCGGATCTTGACCATCCCACCATCAGAGCTGACTTCAGCCACAGCACGCTGATGAAAGTGGTAGAGAGGAGGCAATTCACTCACTGGGGTAACGACCATGACGAGCTGACTGGGATTTATGCTCTTCCCTCTCTCATGAACCATTCCTGCACTCCGAATGTGACCGTCACTACAATGCAGAATGAGAGTGTGACCAAGATATTCAGGGCCTGTAAGAGCGTTAAGAAGGGAGAGGAACTATTCTATGCGTATCACAATATATTCTGCCCTCTAGAAGACAGGAGAGCATTCTATCCCACACTGTGCTGTACATGTGCAAGGTGTAAACTGGAGGAGAGGCTTGTCGCAGAAGTGCCGGCTTTGAAGAGTTTAGAAGCGCAATGTAGCAAGTTTTGGGAACAGAAATCTAGCTTCTCACAACTGAGTCCAGAAGAACGAGCTAAGAGGAGAAACCAATGCATAATATGCATAAGGCTGGTGGAAGAGCTTCTTCAGAAGAATTCTAAGCTGCAGATCTTACGAACTCATGAGAAGGATTGGATTCGGGCTACGTTGATTCGGTTTCATCGACTTCTCCTGGATCCTGCTCTGTCGTTGAAGGATGATGCTCTTAAAGAGGATCAGCTGTCGGAGATGCGCCTGATATTTGAAGCTGTGAGAGCCATGCGTACTGTCAATCCAGGATCCGACATTGCGCTGGCAATGATATCAGAGGAGTACAGTCGAGTGGTGAACCAAAATTCCAGGAAAGAGTTGGAGCCGCATGGCTTGTCTGATTTGTTTCTCACAGGTCTGGAGATTACTCGACTCATGAACGGTCCGAAGTTGAAGTACCGGACGATCCTCAAACTATTCAACTACACCAGTATATTGCTGTGCGGACACCAGTGAGGTATGTCGAAAAAACCTTCAGTCATTCGAATTCAGCACGCTTTCTTGTAGCAAGTCCTCTTCCTTCATTCATTTGGCAGATATTAGTGAAACTCCTTCAGTTGATCTCTATCAAAAGTTAACGCTGCTACCAGCGCTAACAAGTATTTTATATGTAAATAGATTGGATGGTATACGTGATATTCTATTGATTGTTACGCCCCTGATGGGTGTAAAAAATAATCAGGACCTCGAAGTGCTTGCTCGGAGTGGCCTGCTGTGTATAGTTTGATATATTCTTTGGTGTGTGCTGCTTAATTTCAGCTGGAGCTTCTGACTGTTTGTCTCGAAGATAAATCAGTTATTCGATCTGACGATACAACTCAACAGGCCTTCAATGTCTGCGAAAAAGGTTCCAGCCGTGCTCCTTTGCCATTCGAGTGGAGTTACTGCTTGTGGAGCACGGTTAGCCTGAGTGAGAATAATGAAGACTTCAAAGTAGTGGAGTCAATAATAATGTTGGTGAAAGTGGCTAATTATGCCATGCACGAGAAACCCGTGCTTCAAATACAGGTTCCTTTTCTAGCTGTTAGCGGCAATAGTGAATTTCATCTTCTGTGACATTTCGTAAACCAAAATCAATATTACTCGCATTAACAAGCACATACTTTTCTTTCCGCTGTATGGATCATACAAACAACGTTACATGTAATTACAGGATTACAGTCCTTTTGTCTACAATGGTATATTCAGATTTGGTTTCTGGCGAGTTTCAGCTTAGTCGTCCCTTGTAGAGATCATCCTTTCTCATATTTCGTTGCCACCGAAACATTTTCGCTCGATCATCTCCTCAACAGAAGACATTGAACATTGAGGAAATAGACTGAAACATGAGGATCACAGTCTCAAAATACAAAGAATTAATGCCAAACTTGCAAGCGTTGGACTAGAGTGTGGCAGCTTCTTAATCTAAGACATTTAGTCCTGTCTATTCGAGATAGCAGAGAAATGAGAAAGAAACAGTCTGAGCAATTGTGGAAGCACTGAACCTACTCTTGTCCACGTGGCCTCCTCAAACCAGAATCACGAGGATAAAATCCTGACAAGCCTAATCACGATGTTGATGTAATTGTAATGACATTTGTCATGTATGTCAAGAACATAACGACACTCTAACGACGGTGTCAAGTTGATGGGGCTGATTTTCTTTAATTATTCTTTTCGTACATTATATAATTTGCGATGCGAATTCGTCAATTACTCATTAAAAATGTTGTATTCACATGCTGTTAGCCATATAATTTTAATCCTAGTAGTAAAATTATTAAACTTTTATTTAAACTAAATTTCCAAATGAAAAAAAAATTCAGTATGTAAAATTTATCAAATGTCAGATGAATATATCAAAATTAATAATTTCTTAGATTTTTGAAAATAAAGAAATCTAATTATAAGCTAATTAAAAGCTAATTACATTTTTATAAACATAGATTATTTAATTGACTTTCTCTGCTTACAAAATGATACAAATTTTTTTTTAAATCATATTGATTGAAATACGATAATAATCTCATGTATTACCTTTAGTTTCTTTTATTATGATTAGTTTAAAAAATATAAGCACCACTATGTTGATAGTTTATTGAAAGATTACTTGGATAAAATTTAGATATTTTTTCAATAGAATATTTTTTAAATCCATAAATTCAATATTAGTAGTGAATTACGTGTTTTTATGTTCAGTTTTTTGATACAAATTAACAATGAAAATAGAAATAAATATCAAGAATTGGTGAACTGTGATTTATAATAAAAATTTTATTGTTTTAAATCCAGATATAGATAAATAATTTGTATATAAAAAATGAACAGACTAAATTGTTGGCAAATATATCATTAAAAAAAATGTGATTTTAAAATTTGACATGCTTAGTGAAGCATGTCAAATTTTACTTAATAAAGTGACCTACTTAATAAAGTGACCAGTTTTAATTTCGTGTGATAATATGCTATGAAGATTATGGTACTTTTTCAGTATCAATTCTTCAATTTTACTACATATTTCAACATTATAACAATCAAAAATACACTCAAGCAAACTTATAAATATTGTAAAGAGATAGATATATAAAAAATCAATCTTTAAATCTAATTTTAATAACATAAAAAATATTACACAATTCTTGTATTTCACTATAACCTAGTCTAATGATTCTTAGAGCAGTTGAAGTTTGAAGTCTTTACATACGTTTTAATTCATCAAAAAATATATTTTAGCCAGGAAAATCAAATTGCAATTTTTAGAAAAAAAATTTGTAAATTATGCAATATTTCTTGATATCATAAAATTGATATCATATTAGGTAAAATATTACATCATACTCAGAACTGTCACTGCTTGATTCATTTCCGATATATATCGAATATTTACATCATGTTCAAAATCTCATCATATCAGAATGTTATATATGTGAAAACATTGTTTAACTAGTGATGTAGTTTTCAAACCCTTTTAGCAGAGTACCACCGCAATTTGAAAACTTCGAGTATGTCTCTTATGACTCTCCGATCCATGTTTACATAAATTTGTGAATTGTGGCAATTTTTAACATTTGAATTTGAACTCAACATTTGATGATATTTTAGTGCAAAAATCAAACACGAAATTTGTATACACATAATTAATTGATCTTCAACAAATCTTGTCTTGAATAAAATTAATTCAGTATTTAAAATTTTGGTTCTTCAAAATAAATATGACGATTGAAATGTAAAGAATAGAGGAAGTGTTCGTCAGATTTGATCTTAATTGGAATGATCTCTGAATATTTATAATGATTTTTCTGTGATAATCTGAAATATTTTTTTGATAGAATCTATGGTTGAAAAATTGTTCCAATAATTAATATTTGGAAAAAAATCAAACCTTCTTTTGGATTCTAAATTTGGATTTGGATTTTGGATTTTTGTCAACTTTATAAGATATTCAATGTTGTAACATTAAATTTTTACCTATGTTTTCATGTTGGTTCATAATTATTGAAAAAGATTGGCTTCTTGTGTCTATCTGTTTAGTTGATATTATTAATACATTACTGGTTTGATTTACATACTGTTCATGTTGCTAGCTATGATAGCTAGAAAATGGTAAGACCTCCATGACTTGAACCGAAAAGACTTTGATAACAGCGTGGGAAGGCGTCTCTCTTTCAAACAAAGAATGTGCTGGAGGTACACTCCAAAGGAGTCTAAGAGCACTATAAGACGGGAGAACTGAAATAGCTTTTAGAGCACATTATTTGAATAAAAATTTGGAAGTGTTAAAGTGACGTACAGTTACTCATAAGGATAAGAGTAATGGACCATGGATATTCAAAATTTGGATCCAGCACCAATTATATACAGTTTTCTCATCGTGTTCTGCGGGGTTGATAACGAAACAAATCTCTTTTTTGATTCTAAACTTCTCCCAAGAGTGGTGCTAGCAACTCTCTCGCCTTGGTTATATCTCGGGCCACAGCATCGTCGAAGACATACCGACTAATGTCAGATGAATTGTCAGCTGAAATGGGCAAACTCACATTAGTGCCACAGAGTCTGTTCATCAATGCCAGGGCACCATGATAGTGGTGGACGCGTCCGACACTTCCGTTCAAGTCTAGACCCCCAGCTTCGGTGTCTAAAGAAATGACATGAACACCTGAAGCTAGAACTTTTCTTGGATTTACTACATACTTTCTTCTTCCCAGAGGACCAGTGCACATCCATGGATCTGTTGACATCTTCGCGTATCTGCACTCGGGCTGCTTCTCAACCCAGACCATCTTCTCCACAGGCCATTTGTTCGTCGACGGTTCCGGACGGTCAGTGCAGAGACCCCATGAAGCAGGCATGCTTCCAAATGTCATCCAAGGTCTATCTTCGTTCTGCTGAAGCAGCGTTGCCAGAGTGAGAGGTGGAGGGATGTACAAAAACTCGTCGAAGTCATGGAAAAGAGTCCACTGAGCGAGGTACCTTGTTCTATGGAGGCAGTCGTTGATAAACATCACCTGGTTATGGTAATGTGCAGGATAGTACCACTCATCTAAAGCATCTATTACTTCGATCACTCCAGCTTGGATGAAGGGATCCAACAACCTTCTCCCTTCCGGATGAAGACCGCCGACGTTGTAGAAGAAGAATCGGACCTTGCCCTCCAATCCTTCGTACAGGTTGTAGTGATAAGTCAGCCAGCCAAGGATCCACTCTGCTCTGATCTTGCCATGCATCGGAGGTCCACAAAACGCATATTTGTATGGCAGAGAAGCTGCACCATCCCGTTCCAATGTTTTCAAGGTGTCATTGAAACTCCGAACTGCTCCCTTCGATTCGTACAAAACGTCGGCAGTGACAGTGCCAGTGGGACTGTCGCGCTTGGGTTTGATGGTAACTGCAAGCTTCAAGACCCCACCGTTGCCGTCTTCTCCCACTGCAGTTGGAAAGGTACAGTTGACGATGGAAGGGACAAAAGGCATACGATTTTCATCATACTTGATGTAAATCATCTCTGCATTTGTTATAACTAAATCCTTGCCTCTCTGCTTCCACTGACAATTGTATACCGGCGTGTCAAAGGCCCTGGCCACGGCAGAAGTGAGTCCAACCACGAAGAACGTATTCAGTGACAACCTGTAGGTACTGAACTTGGCGTAGGGGTAGAGGGCGAAGCTCAGTGGCTGCAGAGCTCTTGGTTCCTCTGCCTTCCGAAGGCCTCCAGAATCCTGGCTTTGTGCACATGTACAATTCGGCAAGGACTGCGTGTGCAGATCTACGTCTGGAACCTGAATTGCTTCCGAGCTCGCATTTATATATGCATCATTGTAAAACTCTGGTACATTTCCTACGTAACTGGGAGCGGGAGAAACAGAGATCCTTGTCATGGGATCGATCGTGTCATCGACTTCATATTCAGCGGTTGCTGTCTTGAGGAGGTTGTAGCAGACTGAGAACTCTGTGAATTCTTCTATAGAAGCGAAGAGAATAAACTGAAAGATAAAAGACAGGGAAAATATTACAGCTACCAAACGCCAGAACTCCCACGAGTGAGCATATAACGATGTCGTTCTGCCAGCTTTCACCATCATTTTGGCACTCCTAGTTTCTCAATCTGAATCCAGCCGAGGCAGATCTCTGCACCGTGATTGTCCACGCCTTTTCTGAGAACATCACCGTTCACTAATTTCTTTACCTGGTCCCGACATGCTCATACTGATGACAAGATTGTAAAGCCCGAGCTCACAGTGGACTGGACTTATAACTGACACCAGGGCGACGCAGCTGTTGATGAGGCCCCGAGCGGATCAGAACTACATGCATGCAGCAGTCCGCTCGATTGCTGCAGCAGCCGGAGTTCCCACTAGTTAGGACCAAGTGCTTTTGAGTTTACCTTCAGTCCGCCCTGGTAGATCCATTCTGTGAATTAATCTCTCTCGCAGGATCTCGAAGTCATCGTAACTCTTCTCAGCTTTCTCTGATGCGAATATTGAGAGATCTAGCTAGACCTCATATGAAAACTCGTTGTGCATGAGTGCATAAAAGGATTTTTCAGTTCTCCTCACGACTGAACAAACTCCTGTACCACAGATAGAGAGAGAGAAGACCTCGGAGAGCAGCTTGAATTGAACGAATTGAACTGAACTCAATTGAACTTCTGGGATTGAACGACGGTGATGATGCAATTCTTAAAACTCTTCCCAGTAAGACGGTCAAGGATGTGCGGAAAAAGGGATGGAGAGCATGCAGAGTAAACCTCTTTGTATACGTGTACGCACTGACCACCTTTTAGAATCCGTGTCCGTCACAGCGAGGTGAGGATCCGAGCAACCAGAGCGTGCAATTTAGTCTCGAGTCGGACTTTTGGGGTTGCAGTCGAGGCTCCTCTTGAGCCATCGCAGCGGTCTCCTTTTGCGCACATCCATCTCAACGCACTAGAGCGATTGCCTTTTCGAATCAACAGATATTGACTCCGTGCTGAGTCTGCTGTGATGGCTGCGGTGCGTACAAGTCAGCAGATTCTGTGAGGTATGTTCGTGTCATCTTTTTTCAGCCTCTCCCGCACGGCAACGACAAGTTCACAGATAAAAGCACGAGCTTGCGTCGCAGGGCGGGACTGTCGAAGGGAATATTATCGCTGGTTCTGATGACCACGAAGATTCAGAGTGAGATTCAGTGGAGGCTATACTACGGACAAGTGCCTAGAATGGTCTGAGTCTCATGCTCTGAGAGACCTCTCTTAAGTTAAGACAGGTCTCTCTAGTTCTGATATCGCTCGCGTTAAGAGTCTTAACGCGAGCGATATCAGAACTAGAACTCGGTGGATTCGCATACATCTGAACCATGGTTACAGACCGAACCGTAACCACGTCAGACAAGCAGAGCCGAGTACAATCTGGGCGCGAGTACCATCTGGGCCTGGAGGGACGGGTAACGCCTAGTTCCAAATGTTCTTTTTGACCTCCTCAACCCGGAATATCGCCAATTCAAATGTGGCCAAAAGTTCTCAACTAAAATGAACACCCATTAATGCACGAAAAGAGACGTACGTGTAAAAGTTATGTTAATTGTGACCACAGGTGCTCATCCAAAATCATACAATGACCACCCTTTCATGTATAAATTTTGGTGTCATACTACTCGATTTTTTTTAATGTATAATTGTCAAGACTTTTGAATGCATTATATTGCTTTTCAGAAACTAAGATGGTCACCATAAGAGAATAGATATTCGCATCGTAAATTTTGAAAAACCAAACTAAAAAGTAAAATAGCATAAATTTTTTAAAAAAATCTATGAGGATTCATCCGCAGAGCATATCTTTCACTACTCTTACTAAAGTATGTATTTAGTATTAAAAATGTGTGATGGTATTCGTACTTGTGATACAACACAAATATTAATTTTAAAAATTATTTCAAAATGTTTTTTAAAGTTATAACAATACCTTTGATAGAAAAAAAATTATAACATAAATATTGTAGAAAATTTTTATTTTTTAATATGACACTGCTCTCAGGAAAAAAATTTACTGATTTAAATGAATCAAAATTTAAATTGAAAATAATAATCATAACTAAATGACCATATGTCAGTCTGAAACATTCAACATAGTCATGTTGAGATTAACTCCGATTTTACCTAATCTTAGCTAATCTTAGATCTTAGCTAAAGATAGTTAGAAAGATGGCCGGTGCTGGAAGTATTTAACCCTAGGATTTGTATATGACAATAAACCTCCTAGTACATTTTATCGCGGTTGAATTTCCCTAGTGCATGAAATGATAATTTAAGGAATTAAAAATGAGAAAAGAGAGAAGATTTTATAATAAAAAGATATTTCTTTGTTGTTACTTCTATTCTCCATCGTCTATGACAAGGAATCGCATTACAACTTGAAATATTCATGCTTCAACATGAAGGGGGGTTCATCCGTCAATGACATCATGTGTATAATGAAGAAGCTAAAGGTCAAGTTGCAACGCTAGAGCAAAAAGATTAGGAATTTTAGAGTAATCATTTAGGAATAAGTATTAATCTCATATAAGTATTTCTTATGTACAACTACTTATTTTTGGAAGGAAGTAAAAGTAGTCATTTAAGACATCAATCAAGACTTTAGAGTGATTATTCACATCATTCTTGGTAAATAAGACATGAAAAACATCCACACATGAGAAAACGTGTGGACGATTTTTGCGGTGCATATGCAATGATATTGGTTGAACTTATATGCATAAGGCTAAGATTTGAGGAGCTTGACAGAAGTTTGAAATGCAAAATTTTTTTCTAAGTTCATGGTCAAATGATTTTACTACAATGGAAAGATAGCCAGAGAATAATGTCTTATAAAATATAAAGATTTGTCATGCTATCAAAAAATCACTGTGCTACAAGATCTCATAGAAAGTGTATGGATTCATACTTACATTGCCAAGAATGAATGTGAAGCATTGGTGGAAGAGAAGAGACGAAGGGAATTGGCAGGTTTTGGAAGAAGTCTCTCATTAACTATAAAATGAAAGAGATTTTATACAGCTCTTTCACCTCATCACATTATCAAGTAAGCAGGAACTCTCTAAGAGGAGAGACAAACGGATCAACACTATGAGTGATAAGCCTCACCTTACATTCTACAATCAGATATCGAAGCTACAAAAGATTTGAATGTAATCTTCGAGTGTTTTGATTAATTTTGATGAGTGTAATTTGAGTGAGAAAAAGGGCATATCGATGAGCAACTTTCATGATGCTATAGTTATGTTATGATGTTATATGATCGATAGTACAAGACGAGGCGAAGCCACTTCCAATTAGACTTATATTCCCCCATGCACTTGATACAACGGTCTTAGTGGATGAAGAGTGCTGTGGAATCAAAACTCTAAAAGTTCTCTTTGAGTTTGAAGCCAAAGAAGAAGAGGGAAATGCCTTTTGGCCAAAGGCTACTAAGTTACTCTCCCCATCACTACCGTGCCCCCTATCCCGATTATTTCTTATGGTATATGAATAGAAGCCATAACGGTTATGATAGTCCACCAAGGGGACGGCAGGAGAGCTCGTAAAGAATAAGTCTTGCTCCAGTGGGCACCTGAAGGTCCAGGATTCTACAAACTTGGGAACCAAGTAATATAGCAGATATTACGCCATCAAGTCAGACATGGATGGGACTACGGAAGTGACAAGGGCTAGGCCAAAGAAGTATCATTACAAAAAAAATTATGTGGAGCTGCATGTATATAAGCCTGAAGTTTCATAGGGGACATATTCTGTAAGGTCAGAAGTGTGGACAGCTCTTCAAAATCAGAACATCGAAAAACGTCATGCCGGTGAGAAAAAAATTGGACATCTCGATACGCTTTCGAGTGATCACCAACCACTTGGGAAAACGTGGAAGGTCACTATTTCTGGAATGCTTGACTGCGCACAAGGCTCTAGTGTCTGCACAAAATAGCTTCCGTGGGACCAGAAGGAGGAACTCTAATATGATGATGGTCTCGCGTTTGGCACCGCATGTGCTCATCTCTGCAGAATGGTTCCTTGACTCGATGGGGTCTTCCTCACATCCACTTTGCTACATCACTTGGGTCTCGCTTATAATCGGAATGTTGGAAACCAAGCACGTGGACCTTCGAGGTGAACATTTGTCACCCTCCCACACGTGGACCAACTACGCGTCTGGGAGCCGCTCCCTTCTTCAAGGGTCTTCCGCTTGTCTTTATTCCACCAATACATCAACCCATGAAAGTCGGTGAAGAGGGCCATTAGAGATCGTACGTGTCCACAATTCGAGAGGGCGAATTGTCCACACCCATACTCAAATGGCCGACGTGTTGTTGTCGGCAGAATCAGAATCCCAGAGCCAGAGCGCACTTGTCGAAATGCGCTCTGATAGATGATAACTCACATTCCGGCTTGAGAGTGGACATGAAATTTTGGAGATATAAGACCTACCCATTTCAGGACATGTACGTACGTAGAAGGTAGAAGACGGTCCATCCCCGTGTAGAAAACAGCCAGCAAATTCGTACGCAGCTGGAAGAGCAATCGTGTCTGGCAAATGTCGTGGATCAGCTCGGTAATGATATCAATCATGAGAAATCAAAGCATGCACTGTGCAGAATCTGCACTTTGGAGGGTTTTACTGTACGACTTTCGTTAGAAAGTAAAGGATGTGTTCTTTTCAGAGATGAAGATCATGGGGCAGCGATGAAGGAGGCCGAGACGAACAGTCAGTAATGCCGAAAAGGGAAACTGGAACCGACCGGTTCAGAAGCCTCCATTTCGGATGCCCCAAATCCAGAGATGATCCGACATTTGCACAAACTGGAAACGGCTCATGAATTCCGACGAGCGTCGTCGATCGTGAAGAGGGAAAGAAAAGTGTCGAATGCTGCGAGCAGCAGGCGAGCAAGCTTTCGGCACGGCTGCTGCTGCTGCTGTCTGCAGTGGAAATGATGCTGTACGATGTGAACTTTGTCCTTCTCATCGACAAAGATTGAAACAACGTGGCCATCGCGCGGTTGAGGGATCAGAAACCTACAGTAGCTCGTATATCGTATCCTCTCGCTGCTAAACTTGCCCTGCCCTGCGAGGTTGATGCAACGATCGTGAAGCAAAAATAAGCGGCGTGTGGTGTGGTTGACATGTCGGCGACGAAACAGGCGATTTACCATTCCCGTTCTAACTCTGTAACTTTAGTTAGAGGAGAACAGCTTTTACCGCCTTGGAAAGACGCCAGCCAAGCTGCCGGCAGTGGCTATTCTCACACAAGGAAGGAAGGATGTGGAGTATGATGGAATCCATAACACAACAACAACACCGCAAGGATAATAATAATGCATGATGGTATTGCTCTGTTTCGTGAGCGTGCACGAGTACTTGTCACGGTTAGGAGACTTTCTCTCTCGGTGTGTCGTTCCGTCTCGGTGACTGCGGACGTGTGACTGTGAGGAGGCTGGATGGCTTCGTGCAAGGTAGTGGTTACGTTACGATGATGTGGGAATGGAGACTAGCCGCCGGCCTTTGGGAGAGACGGAGTGCTTTCTCTGTAGACTCGGTTGAGACCAGAGACTGCGCTCGATGTCATGGCGGGTTGTGGGCTGCGACTGTGCGTAGAAGAGAGGAGGACTGCAGCTGGGGCTTGGATCTGGTTCGGTGTGGTTCAGACAGCCTTTCCATCCCGCTGTGTGACACTCCATCGACCGACTCCCTCCATTCGTGGACCTCGGCCGGTCTGATGTGCATTCTGCCGAATCCGTTAAGGGAGAGGAGTGTCGAACATGGGGAATGAATTCTCCGAGGGAATGAATCTCAGAGTGCAACATGAGTTGACTCGTCACTCGGACGGAGATTTCGACAAGACTGGACAGGAGGCCGTGCTGGAGGCCCTGTCGAGGATGAACAACAACCGAAAATACAGTGATCTGATCATTGTCTGTAAAAATGGTGTGCGCAAGTTTGGCAGTCGGCTGTGGTTGAGTGCCCGATCTGCCGAGCTCGAGCGAATTATTACGAATTCCTCGGTGACAGAGTCCGGGCTCTCGGTCATCTCTCTGCCCACCATCAGCCCGGGAGCGATGCTCATCGTGCTGGAATTCTTGCACACTGGATCGCCTGGAGCTTTCTTGCAGCGGCTGGAGTCGAAATTCATTCGAAGGCTGAGCCGCGATGTGATCGGTGCCGCCAAGCGCCTCCATCTTCCTCGACTGGAAAACATGTTCTGGCGTATTTTAGAATGGGAAGGCGAGCACGGACTGAACCTCGCTTGCATACGCGACGACGAGGAGAAAGGAAAGGCAGAGATTCTGGAAACTCTGGCCCGAATATCGAAGATCCCTCGGCACAGCGACGTTCTCATACGCAGCTCCAATGGCGTGCTGGTGCCCGCCAGTCGCCTCTGGTTGTCTGCGATGTGCCCCGTCCTGGGAAGGTTATTCGGATGCAAGGGGGCCAGTGCCGGAGGTCAGACCTTCAGAGAGAAGGTCACATTGAACGTGAGCACGGAGGTGCTGGACATCCTTCTGGACTACCTGCACACGGGCTCGCCGAGGATGTTCATGCAGAGCTTGGGCGACCGAAAGCGCTGGAGTGCAGGGTTAGAAGCGATATGCCTAGCTCGACACCTGAAGATTTCTCTGCTGGAGAAGTTCTTGTGGAGCTTCGCGATGGAAGACGCGCGCAAGTCGACGGCCGATCCGACCGACATTGAACTGAGCGTGTTCCGCCTGGCTGAACTTCGCAACTTCCCTTACGATTTCCTCTCTCGCAGCGTTGTCAACTGCCAGGATCACATTCGGAATGTGGAAAGAGTGGCCACTGCTTTAGTGCGCATCATCGACCGCGGATGGATGGACAGCGATCACATTAGAGAGCTTTCGCAGGAAGATTTCATCTATTTTCTCAGGAAAACACGACGAAAGAAAAATCGACTCGCCCCGATCGACGTCACCTACAGACTGGAGGAATATCATCGGCTGAGAAGTATCGTCAGATGGTGTATGTGGGACCCGAGCTGGAGCACCGAAGTGCTACCGGAAGTGGCGATCAAATTCGTTTCTATCTTCTTCAGCAAGGCCGAATATGCGAAACCTCTGCATTCTGATAACTGCTCAGACTCCGAGAGGGAAGAATGCTTCCGATTACTGCGTAAGGACAGGCGGAGGATAATGCAAGCGCAAACCATTAGGAAAATTCTGAAAAACATCTGTAAACTAGCGAAATTCGAGCGGTTCTTTCTTCCATTTGTCGACCTCGACATTATACATCCAGCTCTGCTGACTAATTTGTTGAAGCCCTGGGGCCTGATTTCCCCTTCTGTGATCCAGCGAGCTCTTGATAGGCAGACTTTAAGAAAATGTCAACTGTCCGATTATGTGTATGCTGATTTCCGATAGCGATCTCCGAACTTATGAAATTGAAGGATCCACAGAGGCTACAACCACTCGGACACAGAGAGCCGAAGAAGCGTCCTGAAAGTAGATTTGACGACCGAGAGATCGAAAACAGGGCAGAGTGGGCATCACGTGAAATATGGCATTCTCTGAAAAGCTATTTCAGTGGACAACTCGTTCCCTCACGTAGAGACTTCGACGGTCAGTGCTCAGTTCTAGAGCGAACGATGTAATTTTAGGATGTTGTATAAATGTGTATAAAGAATTTGGTTCATCAGCCCTGCGATTATTCTACTTGCCGAATAGGTTGCTTCACTGACTGGCGGTGGAGAGCGACATCAGAATCGCACAGAGCCTGAGGATTCAGTTTTGCAAGTGATTTTCTTATCCAAGTCAAGCTCAAGTCTCACCTTCAATTGTGACGGGTAGCAAGCTCTTGCGAATGAATCGAGCTTCAGTTGACTCATTGTCGGAGGACAAACAAAATCCGATCATTTCCAGCAATGCACACCCCAAAGGAAAACCTGAGCATCCAGCATTCCAGAGCATGAGGAGGAATGATTCTTACTGCATTCAGTTTGAGTGATTTGAGGGCCAGATTTTCATCAGGCTCCCACAGAAATTTGCGAGCTGGATGTTTCACGCTACAGATCTGAGAAATGCTTGCACCCGACCAAGGAATATGGGAAGACTTCCATCCACGTTCACAGGTATGGATTTTGACAGCTCAGGTAATCATTTGGACTCGCCGCGTATGGGGACGCAAGGTGGTAAACTCATTAAGCACAACAGGTCATCGAACCATACCAGATGAGAACCAGCGGCAGATAGGGACGCGAAGGCAGACACCAAATTGTGGTATTTTACATGTTCAACACACCTCAAGCCTCTGCGTTTTGTGAGGTATGAATCTCGACTGTAGTCCTGGCGGAACCTGTGACATGCGTCCGCAGATTGCACCAACCCCATGATCAGGTATACAGTGTAGCTTCTTAAAATTATCATCAAATGTTGTTCGATAGGGTCACTCTAGGTTTAATATTATATAGAGCTATGTACTTACACTCAAAGTTGGGTTATTTCAATATTCTCTAACCAAGGTAATGTACTGTTTTCAATATTTTTACATCATTCTACAAGGAGTGTTAGATGTTCTGTGAGAGCATCTAACACATGCTATTAGTGTACAGCGTCCAATGACTCTATATTTTGATGTTGTGCATTTGTTTGTATATTCTTTTAATGAAAGTTTGGACAATGTTGCTGTTGAATGAGGTATCTTTTCAGTGAGACTATACAGTAGCTTAACCCCTGGTTTGAAACTTGTTGGGCTTGATTGGGTCTTCTATGCGTTTTTGTATCCGCTTCACTATTTCAGAATGTTGCAACCTTCATTCTCTTCTATTGGTCAAGTAGGTTCCTGAAGGCATAGAACGTGATCGTTGAAGTCTCTTCGCACAAACTAAGAAGGAAAAAAAATGGGAATTCTGTCAACTGCGCTGTCCACATGGGAAGTCAATGTTCACCCGCTCTAACCGGTGTGAGGAGGCCGCCACTGGCGAATCCAGATCGACAATGGTCTAATTTCGGCGGGAGGTAACTTGTTGGAACGGGTGTTCCAGGTCGACGCTGAGTTGTGCGCCCGAATTCTAGGCGACACTCGGAGAAGAAATCGTGGACGGGTCGCTCCTTTGACAGAGGGCGCTATATTTACTATATCCACTATATTTAAGGACTTCAAAGAAAGTTGAAATCTCCATGAGGCAACCATTATGAATGTGGCTTGGGTTTTCATGTCATTCGCTTTTTGGAACATGATTCAAATATTATCAGTGTTTTGAAACTTATAGTCTAAACTTTACAAATGATTTATTCAAAATATGGATAGTTTCAAAATCTAATATCAAAATGTGCATTATCATAGGTGAATTATAAGTTATCTTTGTATCTATGCTATTTTTCAAGCCACTATAACAGGTATTCAAAAATTAAAATACCCATGGATTGAACATCTGAGATTAAACATTTTCTCATTATTTAATTATAAAACTTGATGAGTACAAACTTACAGTGTAAAATGTATATGTATGATGTAAGTTTTTCATATAGCTCACAATTTTTTATTGAAGTTATTTGTGTATCCACTTCATGATGATTTGTGAATATATATATAAAAAAACATTTATTTATAGGGCTTTGCACGAAATGTTATCATATGTTTACTCTTCGAAAGGCACACGAGCGGTAAGATTTCTCACGTCACCGGTTTAATACCACCAGCCACAATGCAGATCGGTCCAGGTCTTCAGACACGTTGTTCGCTTTTTATGATCCTGCTGCTCCTGCAGCAGAGGACCTAAATCCTTGCGGCTGCGATGCCCAGACAACCTCGCTGGCCTCCCTCTGTCATGCGGGGTGTCTTCGGATCGAGCGCCCGATGTGATGACCAAATGCGCCAAGCACTGAAGCTCAAGCACCCAAGTGTGCACGTACTTCGTGGAGGATGCTGCCAGCGTGCATGAAACTCACGTCTTGTTCATGTTCTCAATTCTCAGACTTCACATTCACGAAGCATTTCATAAGAACCTGACTCGTTACTCAATGTTGACTGTGGTATCGTGTCTATTTATTAAATATATATATATATATATATATATATATATATATATACACACATACGTACACAGTTCTTGTTCCTCAAGTATATTGATACAGTTGCGAGCATTGTAATTCATCCGTCTGTCAAATGAAAATACTTCTCGGTTACAAAGCTATTTTGCAATTGTTACCACATCGTCAGTTTCCTAATGGAGCAGAAAAATGAACCAACACTAAGAATGTTCTTCAGATTCACGTACCTAAACTATGAGTTGCTGAATATATAAGACCATATATACAGCTTGTAAAACCTGGACAACTGCTTTTTAGTAGGAAACTGAGTAGTATGCGAGGATTAGTATGTACATTATAATAAGATTTGACCATCTTTCGATGAGAGACAGGCAGCAATGGCGAGAGAGCTCCAAGTGCCCTTGTGTGTCTCCAAGTACCTGGAAGCATATAGAACTCTGCTCGGGCCCCCGAATTTCATGGCTGCTTGACTTTGGACAACCGTCTCCTTATTCATTCCTCCAGATGTTTTCTTCGTGACAACTCGCTTTTGGCTGTGTTCAATTTACTAATCCGTCGTAATTTCTTCCACTCAATCATCCCATGGTGCGCCATTCCCCCAGTCCCTCCCTCGCCGGTCCCCTCGAGTCCACAGTCTGGACCAAGGATTCCCCGGAGAATTGGAATGACCTTAAGCACAACAGCCATGCAGAGCGTCTCAACTCTTCAGGTGAGATTCCACCATATCCACTTCAGTGCCGAGATGCCGATTATCTGTTTATCCGGCAGTTACACACGATTCTGTTGTGTCAATGGTAGCGTGCCAAAGTAGGAGAAACTCGAGAAGCAAATGTACCATCTAATTTCGGCAGACAATTTTTTCTGATCCATGGGACTGCTGTAGTTCGAACCAACTGTTTTTTTCCCATTAGAGTAGAATTGTCGCATCATTTCACACCACGCTTGATCCGATTTGAAAATTCATTGGTCTTCCTGATGAGGAAAGATGGGCTGCGCCGGCCAAGGAGGTAGTGCAATACCAAGGCGACACTGGCGGGTCCGAGACAGCAAGCTGACCCTTTGGACCCACACCCGTGAAAGAAATTAGATTAATATCGTGAGGGTCGATGACCCTCGTATCAGATATTAAACTGATAAGAACAGATACTACACTTGATCTTAGCCAAAAGGCCGAGAAAGGTATACTTCACAATCCTAACTCGGAAGTTTATAAGGCTCGACGGGATCTCGTTACGATCGCATTGAGTATGGGTTTTATCATGCGCAGAATTCTCTCGAGGATCATGCCCCTGGTGACTATTTCTCAAAGTGGGTCCCTCCGTGTGCCTATATCCTTTCCGCACCCCGGAGGAATACTCACAGAGATTTAAGCGCTGAACACCGTAACCTGAAGCCTTACTCGTTCAGCTTACCGATGTAGATTACTCATCGACTTGCAGCTCTCAACTGTGCCTGGTTAATTTCGGGCTTTATTTTTATTTCTTCTCATACATTAAATCTGAACCCATCAGCAGAAGTCTTCGAATCATTACATGACTTCTAATTAATGATTTCATAAAATGTTGGTGTCACATTTTAAGGAAGATCCAGTCAATTTTATGCAAGTCATTTCATCAGCGAAGCTATTGTTACTTACGAGTTGCGAATAATTCCCTTCCTGAAGATTATTTCCTTGGAACTTCCGATTTCCAGGAGAGAATCCACTATTAGCACAGAGGCTAAAAACAAGGGAGAAACTTGAACCCGGAGTACTAACAGGTCGGCTCATTCAAGAAAAGTATCATTAATATTGTTAACTTATTCCAAAATGCAACTAAGCGATGATTTTGTATTTTTTCATAACTGAAGAGAGAGTCCAAACTAATTTTCTAAAATCTAAGCTCAGCCTAGAGCCACACATTTAATATTATATATCGGACAAATTACTAAATTATTTATCATGTGTATTATTTTATATCATTTCATTTTATTCAGTAACATCCACAACCTCACATCAGTTGTCAGCCGGTGCAAACTACACCTGTGTGATTTCATCAATAATTTACAATTAGAAATGAAATAAATCAGAGGTACTGTATGAATTACACAGAAGAAAGCAAAACATTAACAAAAAATCCAAAGAAGATAACAGAATCCTTACGTGGATAGGGACGTAGCAATGAACATCGAGGCTGCTAGCAGTCGATCGGGCTCTATTCTCTATGAAGATCAATGTTGTTTAGAAACTGTCGTTCGCACAACTGATTTGAGGTTGATAAAAATAAGAAAGACTATTTTGGATTTAACGTCTGCTTTTACAACGCTAATGAATATATCGTGTACAATAATGATAATAGAGAACTTAAAGAATGAGTTTGAAGGTTTTAAACTTCAAATGCAAAGAACATGGTTAAGAGCTTTTCATGTATCTAAATGTTGACGAAGAAATTATATTCGTTTATTAATGTATATGACTTTATGAAATAATTATGATCATTTGTTGGATCATTTCGTTCTGCAATATAAATAAAAAAAAATCTTTGAAATCTTGTAAAATAAAGTGTAAGTTGTTTACGGTGCGAATTGTTAAAATTACTAAAATATGATAGAATTCTTCTTTTTTTTTTGCAATCAGGAATTGTAGAGCTCGAGTTCAAATAAGCATTTTAAAAAATAATCTTTTTTACGTGAGACTATGACATATAGGGAAAATATCATAGTCTCACTATCCTCTCCAGGATCGTGACTTTTATGTCTCTATGTCAACTGAAAGCAACTCTAATATTTCATGTCTGATCGTGGCTGTTACCTCCTTACGTTAAATGAAAGCAACCCTAATATTACATGTTTGAGCCTTCACCCGGAAAAAGTTCACAAATGCGTGCCCTTGGGTACAATCACATTCTTTCTGTAGAGTCCTAAGACTGCAGTACTTCAACATTGGCATCGTTCGAACATTTAACAAAATTTGGTTTGATAGTTTGTCGGCTTGCAAAACCACAAGGCCCAATCCAAATTATTCAAATTATACGAATATGTACCTTGGGGAATTTAAAAAGATGAGAACCATATTATGGGTCTTGGAAACTCTGAGTGCACATGCTTCCAAATAAAGGCGAACTATAGATTGGACTGAATCTTCACAGATTCAGTAGCTCAAATTTCGGCTGAACTAGGTCCTCACCATCTGATCCTTAGTGATAGCACCGAGCCACTTTCTCTGAAATTTGCTCCCACCTTAATCCGGAAGTACCCGAGATAAAAGTTTCAACTTCAGAGATGCAAGTTCTGGTGCTCGGAACGTAAGGGGTATATTGAAAGGGCATCAACAGTTTTAATCAATTTGCATTAAATAGCTACTCTGTGCATTTTCGCCGTGCCATTTGGGATTTGATAGTGATGTGCTGAATGAATCTGTCCCGGGCAAAAGCTGACGATTGCGAATAATAAGGTCTTTTGTCACTACTTTCATTTGGGTGAGGGAAGTATCACACAGAAAAAAGGCAAGTACAGGAGGGTGTATTCACATTGTGAGTTCACTCGACGAGCACAACTGTTCGGAATTTAAGATGTGGGACAGCATACCACTTCTCCCAAAGCTGCAGTTCAAGTCATATTAGAGCTACTCTAATGCGTGAAGCATTAGAGTAGCTTACGATGTCCCTTCCTTTCCACAACTTTCTTGATATACAAAGCAAGAACCTCACTTTCTGTGGACCTGTTTACACCGACCCCGGTCTATTTGCAACTTTAACTTGTATCGAAAGAAGAAAAGACGCGAGCAAACATCGAGACATTTGACAAAATTGTGATCAACTTTACAAGTAAACGAAACATTTACAAGACAAGTATCTCCAAGCTTATAAATGATGCTGTGGACGATTGTTACCTCCTTGGAACCCAGTTGTCAAAACAAATATTCAGCTCAACTTGAACTGCCAAGTCGGAACATGACTGACTGACAAGGCTACAGAGTCTGAAATTACGTAGCCGACTGTAACTTTGCGAGTATATAACGACATGCAAATGGCACCAGAACCGAATTTCCAGCTTGGCCCATTCCACATATGTCACACGCAGGTACGAATAGGCCTTCATGCTAATCGAACAGTTGTGCTAGGAGGTATACTATACTGTAAACAAAGTTGACCATGATGTTAACTGCACTTCCTTACTATGAGGTAGTGTGACATTGTACAAAATCTATCTCAACAGAAGACTTCTCTTCTAAACATAAACTGGAAACTAAGCTCTTAATCTTTCAAGGTGTGAAACTTTCACCGAGTTCACAAACGACTACACAAAAATTGGCTGTATACGGAATTAGGCTTCACAAAAGTATGCGCGACTTTTGGTGACTGCACCTGTCCATGATCTGAGGTTGGCTGCTGCTGAATGGGAAAATCGGCATCTTTCTCAGCCATAAACTGAGCAAATCTAGAGCCTTTCACATTCTCTGACATCCTATGCGTTGGTGGAAGTTGAGGAGAGTATCTTGGGACTGGGGGAGACAAAGCTTGACTATGAGGAGGTCGTGGAGGGGTTGAAGGAACCAAAGCCCACACGGCTGATAGGGACTTGTCGGGTTTGTCGAGTTCTGAAAGAATAGAGAGATCTGCACAGGCTGCAGCAATTAGTGTTAGGGCGAATAAATTTCAAAGCGTTCCAATTCTAAACGAAGCTCTTTCGAATTCCGAACACAGGCAAACTTTGCTACTAACCTTTCGAGGCAAAGTGGAAAATTGGAGCCAACGCGGCATAGGGCACACTAAAGTTGAGAAAAGGTATGACACTTCCACCACTGTGTCGGGCGTTACTGAAAAAAAAACCAAAAGGTGAGAACATGCAGTGATCGAATAACTAAGTACAAACATTAACGTGCTCATTCTGAATTCACTAACCTTCACCTTGTTTACAACAACCACGTCTCACCTGGTGGAAAATTCACGATAAATAACACGATATAACTCATCCTGCATGCCATATACATCACGAAGTAAGGTAGGGTGCAGTAGCTTCAGACGCTTACCTTGTTACCAAACCTATCATTCGGCCTTGGCTATTCACAACTGCTCCCCCACTGCCTCCAGGATGTACGGCTGCTGTTGTCTGAAGCATCGCTGGACCTAAAGAATTTGCTTCGACATTTTCAGGCACCAAACTATCACTCAAAGATCTGGTCCCTGCTTTGACGACACGGGCTACTACCCCTGAACTTACTGAAGGACAAAGCTCTGCAGATAAACCATTCACAAAAGTTAATATGAAAAACAACGAAAATATGAAAGCTAGTGCCATAACAGACATTTATGTGCTAATCTTCAATGATTCTGTCCGATTTGATACTGCTCTTCAGAAATCTAATAGATCTCTTGACGTCAAACACAACTTCCATACTCTAGTGAAGTCCACATAAATGATATCAACCTGCTCTTCGATCCGATCTTTCATAGAAATAGTGTGGATGAGCAACTAAAGCGTTTCGTTTCTGAGTTCTTGAACCTCCGACCAAAACTCATGCATCGTTAGGTCCTACTATGAAAACAAACACTGAAATATCAAATCATCCTCTCTTTCACTTCTCATTTCCGTCAGCTACTACTAGCAACGCCCAGCCATGGAACCTGGTGTAAAGTCTTCAGGTTATGACAGGCCAACTCCTATTGTATAAAGCTTGATAGAAAATTCCATTTTTCCAATCCTATTCTCGTGTTTTGCGAAAGACTTGGAATTTATGAACGTGTAAGATGACAAGACGACTTCATTTACTAGTTTCATGGAAGATGCCCTATGGGCAATTCAACGCAAATTGCAAACAGTTGTTAAAAGCCAAAAAAAATATGAACATGAAACCATTGGAGATTTCACGCTATGCTGATTGTACCTGCACGAGGACCGAAGAGACCATGCCCGATGACGACAGCACTCGAGCCGGAAGGTGGGCACGTCTTCTCTGGTATAATTGGACACAAGCCAGGAGGTGCAGACACAAGTTGCAACAACGCAATATCCAAAGGTCCTTGTGACACGTAGATAGCCTTAGCCTCATGCCAAGAGCGTACTTGTTGGTGATCCAGGCGAATTCTTATCCGCTGGTACCCTTTCCATTTCGCCTGCATGGGTCTGACAAAAGTATCGGATTGAGCTGAGCAACTACTTGTGCTCAAAGTAGTGTCAAGCGGCTCCCGTGAAACGGAGAAGCCCAAATCATCCTCGCTCCGATATGCTGTAGAGTTTTCTATTTGAGCACAATTCTGTGCACAGAGATTGTCGACACTACCAGTCCACTGACCACACTCCAGATCACCTTCTGCACCCCAGGCAGACAAAACCTGACGTGTGGATAAAAGATTATTGTGCTGAGAGGATCGCATCTTTCCAAATCGCCATGGCTCCAAAAGATGTGCATTGGTCAATATAAGGCCACTTTCACTTAGGACAACACCGGAGGCCCACGCTCCATCACCTATGGTAACAAGGACAACGGAATTCAAGGCTTTTGAAATAGCTGGAGACATATCAGACTTGGCCTCACTATAGGGTACTGAGAAGGTCCCTCTACAAGAGTCAGCCTCCAGAGAGCTAGCTCCCCCAGCAGACAAGGTCTGGCAAGTATCATGATAATCAGTGGAGATTTGTTGGTGAGTAAGTGGTACTCCAAGTGTAACTCCTGCCTGGTGAAGAGCTGGAGCTAGCACATCGGAAGTCATCACCAACTGCAAAAATCAGATCTATCCGTCACAAGAGATTCACGGACAACAGGTGAATTAAGAGTCAAAGTAAACTAGTCGGCTAGCACGAAAAGACAGCTGGGACAACGTTATGATTTGTAAACACAAGATGCTATTAAGCTAACCTGAACTTCTGCACTACCCCCACGTTGACGGAGTGGTCGAATCAACATTCCAGCAAGAGCTCCTTGCTCATCGAGAACTGGTCCGCCTTCCATTCCTGCCAAAGGAGAGAATAAATTGGGATAAAAAATCCATGGAGCGAATGCTAAATAATCTTTGGTGACACCAGTAACAAGCAAGAGAAAATGAGACCACATCATAATCAAGTGGAATTTTCTATCAGAAGCTTGCATTTTGACCCACTCACCCGGGAGACATCGAAGATCTGCCATCAAAAGGGCAACTGGTTTCGAACTTGGAGGCCAGCAATTAGAAACCACTCCAGCTGACAAGCTGACACGAAGTCAAGCAATTTGTAAGCGCTACTGAGATACTCTACGACGTCAGATTCTTTCAAGGATTGGTAGAAGGGTCTCCATAGCTGAAGGTCCTTTGGTCCTTCTCACGCTAGACAAATCCGAAACAATAAATCCCAAAACACGACATCATAAACATAATAACGTTTAATCGAGCTGACTCGTGCCATTAGGCTCGGAATAGTTTGAAGTGTAGATCTTTGATGGACGAAAAAAACTGTAAACGACTCTCACCTATTATGAAAATGCAGGGGAGATAACGCTCCAAAAGGAGAACCAACTGCTAACAAGAAGTCCCCTCGTTTCATACAGCCACTTACTCCCAAGTCAAAGGACACCTGCAATATTCGAAACAAGATACTTATGATCAGATGTAGAGATCAGATGGTATCCTATGTATTGCACACATCTCACACTTCACGGGTTTCGGCCTTGCTTGAAAAACAGTTTGACAGTATCTCTCCAGCGGAAGTGTGGTACTAATGCTTTGTAGCACAAGAGTATCATTCCAAATGATTGAAAGCTTCTAATACAAATATGCTTTAAAGCTTAGCTAATGAGATGATATCGCCAAGAAAACTGCCAAGGTTTCGTAGTGCTGGTGAATAGCATAAAATTCTTTGGAAAAACGCCAATTGGACTCAGCATCCCATGACTACTAGCGACATGTATATTGATGGTTTTCCTTTTTAAGTTTGAGTCAGCTCCATAACAGAAGCAAGCAAATCATTCACAATTGATACCCAACAATATACAATAGAAAATACTGACATTGTCTTCCATTTGAAATACAACCTGCCAAATTTCAAATTTAAGACACATTACTGCTAACTAGAAAACAGACCTTGAAGGGCTTAGATGTTCTTTGCACTTTCCAGTTCTCTACTATTCACTTTGGTGCAAATAAGTTGCTGCTTACTTCCGTTCCTAGGGTTCCTCAAACCATATTTTCAATGAAAAGCTTTTCCTACAAAACTTCTCCATCATTTACATTCGAAAGAAGAGTTAACACTCTTATTCCCCAAAATGCAATACTCAGTCTAAGATTACAACAGAAAGAGATTGTAGCTAGTAACCTTCAAAGGCTTGGGCTGCTCACATGCGCGTGGAACAACATTATCTTGAAAGCTACCGGCAGCACTAGAATCTTTCCAGAAGAGACTTAGAATTGCAACCCTGGTTGCTGTCATCGCCAGATTCCCCACTCTGATTCCATTGTTGACAGAAGAACCAAAAATTGGTTCCCTGTCACCTACGGCCCACCGCCTTGAAGGTTCGTCCTCCTGTGAAACAAAATTCATACACGCTCAACCTTAAGATTGAAAAAATCAGAACAACATACAGTTCAAGAACCAAAATTGTTGTACAAATGTTACGGAAGGTATCGGACGGGCTGACCAAAACTAATCATTTCAACCGCACATGAAGTCTGTTCCAATATACACCAATAACATGATCATTACTCCAGTCTTCGAAAGAGTAGAATGATCAGTAAATGCATACTAAAAAAAACTCCAACAATTCACTAACAGATTGAATTTCACATCACCGATGGTCATATAATGAAGGCACTACAGTAATCAAGTGTGGTCAGTACACAAGAGATAGCGGTATGCATCTCCACCAGCATAGTTGAATCACCATCCACGTGTATCACTAGTATTAATTCCAGATACAAATTCAGGCGATCCTTACATTGAGCTGAACACTAGATTACGCAAAAGTGTGGACACTTAGCAGAAATTTAAACTTTCAAAACGCAACAATTGCGCGTTTCGAATTGTACAAATTCCAAAAAAATTTGTGTGCCAACCAAGGACCTTACGTCTCTTCCTTCCAAGAGCGAAATTCGTACGTACCACTATAGCTCTAGATGGAGGTGCTCCTGCTCCGAGACCTTGTAGCTGCGAATTTCCATCTTGTGGTGCAAGCGCCCAGCCAATTTCCCATGCTCCATCCACACTACCACCGTGCACATCCAGCAGAGCTTGGAGAGCCGCTCCAGCGGTTGGTATCTCCACCTAGCGAACAAAATCGAGTCATCTTACAAATAAACAATAATTTACACATTTTAATGACACTAACATCGAAAGTGACGTATCTGCCCACTGTCCAATTAAAGCATTCATTCTTACGATTCTCAGTAACTGCAACCTTGTGCACTTTCCACTTCCGGACAACTACGTCAAGGAAGATACAAAAACTGATATTGCCCTTCATTGATCCAGCATTCATGCCCAAAACAATATTCTTCAGCTTTGCCGCAATATGAGATTACTGTACACGAGGACCGGAATACCACGGCACAACAATAAGCAAGAACAAAAATGCAGAGTTGTTCATTCTATTCTGGCTTGGAATTGGTAGAGGCATCCAATACCACTCGTTCCAGGTGCGCAGGTATCCAGCACTGAGTGTGATCTCCAACCGTTGTTGACTTTCCTGGCACCTGAATTGAAACTCAAATCGGTTAGCATAATATTATAAGGTACACCACAATACAAGGTCAGAAAGTAATCAAATTTTCAAAATTCCCACGTTTTAGTCACAAAAGGCCTGCGAATACGAACAAAAAATCGCTTGCACTTTCCACGAGGTTAATTTACGGGGGCATAGCAATCGACAACAAAACTCCGGAAAATCGGTTCCTCTTGGTCAGATCAAGAGCACATCATTTCACTGAATTAACCTTATTTTGTAAGCATGACCCAAACTTCAAAATACCAACGCAACGTTCAAACAAACAATCCACCGATCTCTTGCGACTAAAATCTTCTCGAATAAAGCACAATCAATTCCAGGGTATAACAATGAATCCAAAACCGTGACAATCAACTAATCAGGATGTTACACAGTAACATTCTACTTGAGCTTTGGGACAGGTACCAACTCACCTCTACAAGAACGTCAATTTCGGCTCCAGGTATTAGCTTTGGAAAATCTCGAGCCTGAAGACAGAACAAATCAATAATTTGGCTTTTACGACAGGATTACCTATTCAGCTCGATAACAATCAGCAAAAGAGAATCTTCAGTGATCCATACAGCAGTCCTCCGTGAATCAACTGAACTTCTTCACAGTAATTTGGCGGTGCCGAGAATAAAAGCATCCCGGGTTTGGATAATGGCAGCAACAATTTTTGGCCCACTACGACATGGACAACATGCTTCACTTAGGACACTTTACGAGGGCGTTGAAGTAGTCTTAATACAATCTGCTATCTCCAGATGAATGTAATCCGATTAGCATATAATAATTATACCGAAGATCATAGCTTTCGTCTACGAAGCACACTGGGCATCGGCATTTTGCGTTGCCTGGTAAAAACGAGCTGGAAAAAGAATTGATCATGAATCGGTTTTCATGATGCTGCTCAAAGACAACTCATTTAGGCCGCCAAGTTTATGAGGAAAATGTGGTGCTGATTTACTGCAAATTTAGTGATATCTAGGCTCACCTCGACTGAAGAAGTCCCAAAAGGCTGTTGCGATAGAAACGGCTCCACAATGGACGCGCACGTAACCACAATTACAGAGGAACCGGGAACTGTCACACTTGACAGATGATTCCCATGAGATGGAAAAGCTTTCTTCCCCGGTTCAAAACTACCAGATTTGAAGGAAAGAAATCCTGATGCAGATAATGTTGTATCACCTGACCTGGGGTAATGCGTACAAATCAAGCGACATTATGATTCCGACTTGGCACAATCAGATAGGTGAACACTACTACTATGGCAATCTCGGCTGGCATTTGAAAACGACAGGCAGAGTTTACAGCAAGATGCTGAGGTTACTCATTCACATAAATAAGAGATTAAACGAAAGTAGATTCAGCACTTACTCCGTATGGAAGAAGGCATGTCTTCGCATTTTCCTCCCCTTGGGATCCTAATTGCAAAAGCGTTCAATTTTCCTCATCACATTCAGGCGAAATAAAAAGACAGCATCGGCAGGCCCTCCAAAGCACTCTATCCCTCCCATATTCGAGAGTTAGATGCATTTAGTGAATTGTGAAGGTCGTTCTAGATTTTGGCCTACTGCCAGGAATATGAAAAAACTCATAAACACGATAAGGACTTACAGGGCCATGTGCGCGGACCATAACTGCGGCTGCATGCGCAGCATCCATAGAAGCGCGGGGTACCATCGTTATGACCAACAGCAAATAAATTCAGATCCAGTACAGCTCTTCAATAACGCGTCATCCCGCCTCAGTTGGTTCGGAAGGATGTATCAGTATGCCGACCATCCACTGCCGGTTAGAACCCAGAAGAAATCGAAAAATGTTGCACTCCAGGCGAAGCATGGCATTCTGCAAATATCATCAACACTTGCAGTGGACTAGAAGCTCCTCGAAATAACTCCTCGCTTTTTCGCGCTCAAGGCGATGTTTCATATGAGACCTTTGAGGCTGAATGCACAGAAAGTCGATCCTATTAGACATCATCCTCGAATAATGTTGAGCGGTGTAAATGGTCCAGAAGTAAGCTGTTAAAATTTTACGACCAATCCTACCAACCAACCCATACAACAAACCGGCTTGATAGCAAATAGATCCTCAAATGACAGCAAAAAAAGTCAACCTCTTTAGCCACCATAATTATTCAAACGATCACAAGAATCCCCGATTCGAAGAGTCCATTCTTCGACAAGAATCAAAGTGGTGTCGGAAACAAAAATTCCAACATTTGACTTCCAGTATATCCAAAATGTCGCTGTTCAACGAGAAGCACGCGAAACCTCGGAAAAGAATGCTGTAAAACGAGACCTAGCTGTTCGCGACTCAGCTCCCGACGGCAGCTACGTGAAACGCTGACTGAACTGGCTGATTTATTGAAATATTTTGCGCATGCCCACATGAAAACGTGATGACCAAGATACACTACGAAATTTTGATCCGAAAGAGAACGAAGACAAGAACGAGCAAAACAAAAGTAACAGTTCAAATTGAGAGAATCATAGAGGTGCAGCACTCGAAACCCAGAAACACGTGCGAATTATGATCACGGTGAGTCTACACCTCACCAATTCTCAGTGTTAAGTTGACCACTCTCGCAGGCACCGACGAGGCAACAACTCACATGCAGCGCACCCATTCTATCCCGAGAACCACTGAAAAATTGAACGGTGAGGAAAGCACCACAATAGGATTACGGTGTTGAGGCAGGTCCGAGCAGGAAGGAAAAAACAGAAGAGCTCTTTAGTTACCTTTGTCAGCTTGCAGGCATCGGCAGGTAATCCGGGTCGTCGACAAAGAATACAGAACCGAGCGAAGATGCAATCGGGTTACACCAACGAATGCGCAAAACACGTCCGAATTCGCGCAGAGAAGACATAGTACGCAGCAACCGCCAATGAACAAACAAATGATCAAGCGCTCCTGGGAAAATTCACTCCCGCGACAGACTACAGCCAGACCGCGCGAGAAAGAACGTGCAAACGGGCGAGATTCAGGACTACAGACAGTGCGAAACACGATAGATTCTCGTCATATTCCCTTTCGCCTCGTCTCCGCACACGGCTGGACTCACAAACGAGAACGGTGAGCGGGGTGCCACTCTCCCCCTTCGACCTTCCAGTTCTCGCCCCCTTTTCTTTCCACCCCGCCTCCTGGACCCCCACTGACCCCCACCCCAACTGCTTTACCCCCGACGGTGAAAAAAAATTCCCTCCCCAACCTCTCCTCCTCCCTCCAGTCGAGTGCAGAGAATCTGGATTCACGCTCGCTCCTTCCTCCAAATTTTTTTCGGATTCGTTCCTTTTTCCTTCCTACTTTTGCCTCCGATTACTCCTCCTCCTCCACCTCCTCCCCGTCGCTAGGCCCTGGCCTCTCTCAACTCCTCTCCCCTCCTCTCCCCTCCGCTACCTCGCGCCCTCTAGACTTCACTCCATTTGTCGGCGCGAGCACCACCAGCGCACACGCAGCGCAGCGCAGCAGCATCCTCGGCATTCATTCTTTCATTCGTTCACACATTCATTCGTTCATTCATTCGGCCAGCCAGCCAGCACTCGCTCTCGCTCTGCGCCCGTCGCGGTCTCTGCCTCTGTCTCCTCGCTCGCCGGCCACACATTCATAGCCCCTCCCCTCCCCTCCCCTCCCTCTAGACATCGCTTCCTCCTCTGATCTAGTGTACGCAAGTCGCTGCCCTCTCGGCTCCCGTCCCCTCCCCCACCCCGCTCGGCCCCGCTCCCCGGCACCTCCGTACGCGGCCCTGCGCGGGCCTGGCGCTGTCCCGCTCTGGGCTCAACTCGGGTCTCCGTGTTGCAAGCCTCGCGCGCTCGCTCTCGGGCCTGCCTCCAGCGGGTACAGTCCCAGTACACGCCCTGGCCCGCTGCAGGTCTGCTCTGCTCTGTTCTGGTCCGGTCCGGTCTGACCGTCGAGTCGAGCCTAGGCGGCCCGCCCCGGTCGCCGGCGGCGCCTGATGGCACTTCCCGATACTTTTACCGTCCAAAAAAAGACCGGTGTGGATAACTACGACCGGAGCTCTGTCCAATGCCCTCCATCGGCGCCTAGCCACGTAACGTTTACGAAACTCGTAACATCTGAGCGTGCGAAAACGAGCGAATGTTGGCCCGACTTTTTCGCGAACTTTCCGGGTCTCTTCCCCAGGGCTTGGAATGGCTCTGTAGGCAGACCTGCCGACGTTCGGAGAGCGCATCCGCGAGATTTTTGTCTCGGGGTCTCGCCCAATCCGAGGCCGCCAGCGCACCCTCCGACGATGTCGGTCATCCCCTGCTCGTCGACTGGATGTCATGTGGGGTATGTGTGCTGCGAACTGCTGCGACAGCCCCCCTTTAATAAACACTTTCCTCGACCATTCTGCAGGAGCTGCTGCAGATGCAATCTTCACGAGACGCCAGCCTCGCTCGCTCGCTCCGTATTCGGTACCGGCGGGCGAATTTCGCGCTCGCTTCGGATTAGCGATAAGTGTCATTACCCATCTTTTTGCTAAAATTGTTCCTCACGGAGATGCAGATATGGCGTGTACATCTTCATCGTGTCGGGCGTTCCCATCTGGCGACGGTACAATCCCTGAACGCTAAGTGAGGATGCGCAAAGCTTCATGCAACTTGACTGGTGTGCTTTGTTCTTGATCCTTAGCCTTTCTCGCATTTGCATCGAGGTTAACGCGACTTTGCAAGGAATTTGCATTCAGTGAATGGGACGAGTTTCTTGGAGCATGGTGGTTTCTGGGGGAGTTCGGAGCATTAGTTTAGTCGTTTTACAGGACTTGAGCTCTCGAGTGAGCATACCGAGAGATGATCTTTCGTACACTCAAGCAAGAACTTGACCGTATGTGGATGCGGACATTTCTTGGCTCTATATGGAAACTCGTCAACTCATCTATGGGACCTCTTGGCTGTAGTGACGAATAATCATATCTTAAGGGAAATCGAATGTTTGCTAAAGTTGGCAACTCTTGTGGACGACGTGACTGGAGACCGGTGCGTCGTCCATCCGCGTCTGGACTCAATTGCATGGAAGATTCATATATGGATGGCATGGATGTACAGTTCTGCCTTTGGAATAGGAGCATCCATTCTTCACTGCCGTCCATCAAAAGGTCGGAGATGGTAAGAACCAAACAGTCTTACTCCGAGCAGGACCTTTTGAAAGCCGCCTAACTATTGGTCCATTTTCTGCTCGGCGCCGATTATGCGTTTTATGTGAGCCGAGTCTGATATTCCTCTGGTCACCGATCAAATTCGCCTAACATGTGATCACGTTGAAAACCCACATGTTTTTCGTTTCATATAAAGGGGCTGCCAAGGAAATCTCCATCACGTATCCTGTACCTTCTATACTCTTGATACACTGACGAGAGAGGTACTTCTAGCAGAATGTGTCTACCGGTGTGGAGCGGTTTTTGGAAAAGTGATGACGGGCATTGCCGCAGTAACGTAGCCTGTCCGCCGGGCCATCGTAAATTAACGCGCGGTCTGTGGCCGGGGAAAACGATCGCTAGCAGTCACCCATTTGCTACGATGAAGAGAGGTAAAAAGGATATAAGTCTTCTGTCGTAGCCGTGTGTCAGGAGCCGAAGCCGTCCCGTCCCTCCCCTAGGAAGGACAGAAGTGGGCGTTGGCCCAGTACCCAATGCTTGCAATGCATGAACGAATGACTAATGCAGTTACAGGTTCTTTTCAGATCAATCAGGTGTACATTCATGCTCAGGGTGCCCACAGCTAGAATTTGGAATCAACATCGTGCACATCTACTCTGTAAGCTCCACCTTACGCTACCAGCGAAAGATTTAGCTTCTCATTTGATTACGGAATGATCACTCTTTAAAGTACAATCAACCTGGTGACCAAAATGCTGCGTAAACGTAAAGAAAAAGAGCAGAAGACTCGAATGAAGTTTTGGGGTGACAATAGAGAATGTATTCAATTCCTGCTTTATTTCTATTGGTTGCCCTTCTCCGATGATGATGGACATGCCATCCTTTTCCTCTCTCTCACTCTGGACAAGTGGTGCTTGTGACTAATTTTTTGCAGGTTAGAATGAATATGTCCACACTAACGGACCAAATCGGGTTCAGAGAAAAAATTTAGGTGCGACTTGAAACCGTCAAATATATGTATCCAATAAGGACGAGTGATGACCCAATTTTATGTACCTTTCAATTCCAATGTTATGTTTGTCAATGCCTGACCTGAAAAGATGAGGCATCCCTCTAACTGACTTGGCCTCTTTTAGACTCTTAAAATTAGCATGAACACCCTATTTCCATAGTTTTGTTTTGGAATCAACCATGTTAACACGTACCAATTAATGACACCATAGAAATGACACTTTCTGGTAATTGATCATTTTGTGACTTCGTTATCTAATCGACTTGTGACTGCACTTAGCATATCTTTGTGGTATATGACATGATCTCTTCATCCAAGAAGGTACGACAGCTAGCGTGTATTTCTCATTATCGTTAAGTTGTACCAAAAATTTATAGCCCACCTTGATGAATGACAAGTTCAACATCCTTCACATTCACTCTTATTGTATCCATTCATCTCTTGCTTATGTTATTGCTCCGACAAAGTGCGTATTTGTAAATCTTAGGTCGACAGTGCATTAAGGTTCTGTGATGCACACAAAATTTTTTTTTTGAAAATATAATTATTCGTGTGTATCCAAAGTAACAATTTTGCAACCAATATATCTCACTTGTCTAGGTACAATTCCGTTATCACTTTGTTAATACATTTAAATACAAAAACATTTACATTGAGAAGCAGGAATGTCATGGAAAGAGCATATGATAGCTAATCATGATATCCCGTAATCCCGACATCACGTGCTATGTGATAGCAAGATTGCGAGATGTGGCTATCGCTATCCCGAACGAGACTGGATATATATATATATATATATTTCCCAAGAGTAGATTTAGTATGTCTTGCAATGAGTTACATTTCACTTGTATCTGGTTATAAAGAATATTGTAGTTATTAATTATGATATCAATATACATAAAAGTAATTATGTTACATGATGCTTATTTCATTGCTTAGAGGTCCGTATTCTCGTGTTATTTTTAGATCCTTGGATTGGGATGTCCAATTCCAAAGATCTATAAATAACATGAAAAAATGAATATCCAATATGGTCCAAATAACAGAACATCGCAACTCAAAATATAATGTTATTTGGCCTAGACCATTTATAAGTTATGGGGTCTTACCATCTCTTATGCTATATTAGTTTGTACCTCCGTAAACAAAATGCCAAGAAAGGAAAGGAGGGTTGGGATCATCGGAATGTGCAGATTCTGGCTCACCTCAGTAGGTCAGCTTCATCAGCATTGTCATAATGGGAACACTGCTGTCCGTCCTCACAGCCTCGACATCCTAATCCCCATCTTGACTGAAATCTACAATGTTGTCGGACTTCCTTGTCAAACTCTCTCATAATTAGTATGCGATACGAAACGAAGCAGACCGAATCATATTCTTTTGAAGTATTAAACATGTCCCCAGACATACATACATTCTGAATATAGTGATGGGGATTACAGCAGATGCAGAGACACCATCAACGTTGCTCGGAATGAAAATAACATCCTCATGTTATACAATATGACTTCTTTTGAAGGTTAAGCATGTTGATATCCAACACTACTTTCCCAACCGTGTTTGTGATAAATCTTGGTCCAAGTGAGGAATCCTTCCGGATGTTAGAGTCAAACCGAGGGTTTCCCAAAGACATCTCGCTTACAAGCTTGCATCACCTTCGTTTCATGATCCAGGTTGTTAGGAGTTCATTTCTAAATGACTCCTCTCATAACAAGTAATTAACATTCTCAGCGATAACAAACAAGATTGAGATGATAATTTTGTTTCTTTATGACACAAGATTGAAAATCACCAGTACAAACAGAGATGCGACTTCTATATGTCAGTTTGGAAGTGAAGCCGAGCCCTCGCTAGCAATCTACTCATTATTGTGTCCACCTAAGAATTAAACAACACATGTTGTGACAGAATCTAGATGCAGTCATATGCTAAAATTTGAGCTGCTACTTTGTATCCCCTACATATCTTTTTGGAGCTATGATTCCTCAAACTACGTACTAGTTGCCTTCCATTTTATATGAGTAACTAGCGATGGACTACTTTTCTCTTTTTGTTGCGAAATGAAGAATATGTCTTATTTTATTGCACCTGAGTATACCTTTCTGGACTGTTTATAAAAGTAAAGTGTTATGCATGAAGTGAAATGGCAGATGCTGGCCGTTTGCAAAGCGGAAAAATGTGGAAGTTTCGTTCATTTGAATTGCGGGGCAATGAGATAAATCCACAACTGCTCCACGTGATTTGAAATGCGTGTATCTAGTTCATCAGATATGAAAATTTCTGGACTATACATCTTTAGAAGACATTTCATGTTGTTTTGCATCTTTCGTTCGTACTGTCAGCTTCGATGTACAAATCCCAAAACAATAATGATGAGAGTGGAATTTTCTTTGTTATCTTCTCATGGGTCCTGAAACAAACTGGCCTCTTTCAGGAAGCTAAACCCAAATTTGTGAAGCCGCCATCTTGAGTAGAAAATTATTTTGCGCTCAAATCCCGGGGGATGTAAAGAAGTCAAAAGTGAAACAGCTACAACTTTTAATGGAAAAGGACGGATTTGTTTAGCAATTAGCAGGAATACAATAAGGTCTCTCTAGGTCGAAAATCATAACAACAACACCCAGCTGTCTTTGTCAGAAGAGGATATTTCAAACGATAAACAGTCATTGCTCTAACATTTGTCATCGACGCATTTGCCCAAACGTAGTTTAAACGGACCAAATCATAAAGTCGATGTCAAGCCATTAGTCCTACCGCAAAGCTATAATAGAATGCCGTTCTGTAGGACGAGGATTTTCCAAGTGTCCAGTGTACTCGAAGGTGGGCGACGTACCGAACTTGTTCTGATCTTCGATTAATTTAAATATGTCTACATCTCCAGTAGATCGAGTACACATGGGGGCGACTCCTATTGGCAGAAGAGACCTGGTTAGAAAGGCAAGTACAAAGCTTATCACTGGATGCTCACACAACAATTGCTCAGGCTCATGATAGATAGTAGTACTGAAGCAGCATACAGCGTGAGAATATACCTTCGAGAAGCCTGCTTTACAAATCCAAAGCAGTAGAGCATATTGAGTTTGTTGGACTCGACGATTCAGTTCCGCAGTTCGATGGATCGTTGATGCTCCCATGCTAATCACCTCGTACACTCGAGAGCATCAGTCTTTGATACTAGCCTTTCAGTGAGATTATTTATAATTTAGCTAAACATGTGAAATCGATGCGCACACTTTATGTATACTCTACGTAAACATGATTTCACCTAGTGTTCACCTTTCCATAATCTTACAGTGACAGGATAGAAATTACCTATTTCTGCTATTAAACTAACTGAAATTGTAAAATAAGCATTTCATGTAAACTTTATCTTATTTTTCAAAGATGAATCATGATAACAATTATATGTATAGACCTGAAATCGCATTGAAAAATGGTACAGAGGACGGTCATAGATCTAAGACACT